TCAGAAAATGCCATAGAAAACCTTAAACGTATTATATTGATTTACTTGGAATTTACATTGACCTTAGCTTGACTGCCTGATGGAAATTGGAAGTGGTATGACTGCATGATCTTCAGACAAAGCTTTCTTTGTGTTATAGCATTGCATAAAGGTCTAATATTACACAAAATGGACTCTTGTGAGCTTTAAGCCAGGTTATAAAGTTTTACCTCACCAAAAACATACCTGGAATTGTGTTTTATTTCATTCACACATGTTTGAGAATCCGTGTATCATTTGTTCAAACCAAAAATAAGAAAATGAAAAAACTACAGTTTTCTTCATTATTTGTCTCCAAAACCAAAATGAAAAAAATATAACGATTCATTTTTTCAGCTTTGAATTTTGTGTTTAAATGAATAATGGAAAAAAACGGATAATGACCATTTTCTATTTCTGTGACGTAAACTGTGATGCCAGACTTTTGCACCGCATACGGACTAAACCAGGACTGAGACCAGGACCAGACCGGGACCAGGACCAGGACTGAGACTGGGCCTAAACCGAGACTAGACAAGGACCAGACTGGTACTGTGACCAGGACTAAGATCAGGACGGAGACCGGGACCTGGTTTAGTCCTGATTCAATTTTGGTTTAGACCTGGGATCAGTCCTGGTTCAGTTTTTGGTCCGTCCTGATTCAGTCCTGGTCTCAGTCTTGGTCTCTGTTCTAGTCTGGTCCCAGTCTCTGTCCCGGTCTGGTCCTGATCTGGTCCCGGTCTCAATCCCGGTCTCGGTCCTGGTCTCGGTCTCAGTCCCTGTCTCAGCCCTGGTCTGTTCCACCTCGTGAAATCATCAAGTGATAGTTTTCACATTGACAGCTACTTTTTACTTTTAGTTCAGTAGAGATTGACAATTCCAGGTCTGAAATCATCCAAATGATTCTGGTGAAGGTGTTTGGAGTTTAAAAACACAGTGGAGCACTTATTATCACACGGCATCACATTTCTGTTTGAGAGAAGAACACAACGTAAATATGCCGGGTTTGTGTGTTGAGCATGCGTGAATGAAACAAAACATAACTCTGGGTATAATCACTTAGTGTGAAAAGTTGAAAAGCCATTAATCAGCCATTGATTGATTGACTATAATTGGGAATCACTGACATTACTGTCTATATGCACAACAATAGTGGATTTGTTTGAAAAAAATAAGTTTTAAAGGATGATTTCACCTTTTGTAATATGGACTGTGACCAAAGTAATAAATATATAAATACATAGTAAAAACATATTTCTTTTGAATCTTCAAAAGTCGCTAAAATGGCAGCCATTACTAAAAAAAATATTATGATTGAAACCTATGAATATTGTATGCCTAATAATAGCTAATATGAAGTAAATAAAATGTCTGTATTGCAGTTTGCTTCAATACAAGGATCATAATCGCTATAAAATCAGGTTGTCCCAAAGTAGCACTGTCAAGTTAACATGATTTTTAGGGTTAACTTAACCCATTGGATCTATCTACCTGATAGGATCTATGAGAAACATTGAAATTACATTGTATTTTAGTGTGAAGGGTATGCTATTTCCCATGGACAAATAAACTCACACGTTTCCCTTTATCACAGTTTTCACCCCTAAACTCCATGACAAATGATTCTTTTTCCATTCCCAAGGTTGTTAGAGGCTTTATTTCGGCCGCTGAGATAGACTATTAACTTTCATATTCACAAAACATGGCTCATTTAGACCCACTAATGAGCACTAAAGAATTTGTAAGTAAGAGTCAAGTCTGGAGCTAAAGGCCAGAGCCTGGTCATGTAGCTAAAATCCTGCAGTAACTAAATCTGTGAGTGAGATGAGTGTAGAGAGAAACCCAGGTCACCAAATTTAACTTAACTTAAAGGTGCACTGTGCAGCTTTTCTGATGGGTGGTCTGCCACCAACTTGTCTCCATGGAGATATTATTTGCCTGGAAACTATCATGGCATAACTTTAAACATATCCACCTAGCATTTATTCGTTACGGGGCTTTGTGTTGCTCAAAAAGACAATTCCTTCTGTAAATAGGGGTGACTCTCCATAGTCTGATTCATCAGACGGTTTCACTTCATGGAAACCGTCTGACCTCGCAACATTAGGATTCGTTCACTCGACGGTAGGCGAGTACTTTTTTTATTTAACCAATCGCTGCTATCTGGTCGTGATGTATGTAATGCGCTGGAATGCTCAGTGGTGTCCAAGTAATTGCCAGCACAACCATTAACAAAGCAGAGAGTGAATGTGTCTGTAAACGATCACTGTCGCTTCTGCGAGGTGAACTTGCAAATTAAAGGTGCAATAAAAAATGCGAAGTTTGTATTTGACAAAGAAAGTCCAGAGGAGGATAACGTAAGCAGTCTGCTATCGCAGCTCGGGTTGGTTCAGCTCTTTGCTGATTGGCCGGTGTGTGGTCTACAACTTCCAGGGTTCTTGCAAACCATCTAGTGTATTCAGATTCCTGATCTAGTCGCTGGAGAGAAATGAAATTGAGCGGATGCACTAGATGGAGCCAGCCTGGCTAGACTCTCCACAGATCTGAATTGTAATGTAGCATATTGCTGTAACCTGCTTGTCTCCCTCATGATAGATATGTTTAATTCGATACTGTGGAACATTCTAGACAAAGCAATAACATCTCCATGGAGATAAGCAGGTGATGGACCCTCCACTAGAAATGTTACACAGTGCACCTTTAACCTATTGTGACACATGGGTCACTGGGGTCAGGTACGACACATGGAAGTCCCCTAATTAATTGTATATTTACATTTTAGTGGTACTAACCGGTTCAAACTGCTGTTAATTGGACCAGATTTGCTTGGTTGTCACTGCAATTATCCAATCAGAAGGCAGCAGAATGAGCCTCACAAGTCTCTCATTTGGGTTGCAAGTTTCATTGCAGAAATCCAGTTGTTTTAAACCTAAAAGGACTCTCTCTGGTGTTCTTGATATGCAAGTTAAAGCATTAGTAGGAAGTTCAGATGAGCTTCTAAAATTGAGGACAGACAATTCCTTTAGCTCCATGATGCAGCAACAAATTATACTTTAAAGGTTCGATATATTGTTTCTTATTATTAAAATGTGTTTATGCTGCAATGTTGTTTTCTCATCAAATCAGACCTGGAGTTATTTTTGCTTTTTGGTTTGCATATTTGAATTATATGAATACCGGTCTGTTATCCTCTTCAGGGTTTAAAATGTCACTGCTTGATTTACAAAGGTAGGTAGTAGCCAGAATTGTACTAAAGTAAGAGTTTCATTGTTTTGATTTTAATTAATACTGCTTAAAGGACTCATATCACACTATTTTCTGATCTATGATATACTGTTTCCTCATCAAAAACATACCTGGAGTTGGAGTACTCAAACATGTGTGAATGAAACAAAACACAACTCCGAATAAGTTTTTGATGAAGTAACAACGTTCTAATGCAACTAAAAGCTCACAGTAATCAATTTTGTCTAATGTAGGACCTTTTAATTTAAAAAGCTTTTGTTACTTGTAGACTTACAGTGGGAAGAGTACCCCAAACTTTTTTTTTTTAACTGAATTAAGAGTACTGTCACAAAGTCAACAAGATGTAAAATTATGGAGTCTGAAAACTTACAAGTTAGTCAAATAAATGTCATCACAACTGTATTCACCTTCCCCAAACTCATTCAGATCTGTTCAGTGTTCAAATACCGAAAGTGACTTTGCAGTACTTTTATTACCAGGAATAAAAACTTTTAATAAATGGTGACAGATACATTTCTTCTCTAGAGCATATTTGCATATCCCCCTCTTCCAATTACCTCCTTCAGGACTTCTCAAACATTTCCAACACTATATTTTGACTCAAACTTTTAGATCTCGCAATGAACATTTCTGTCTGGGCTGTCTGCTTGTTCCATGTAAATCTTTTAGTGTTTTGACTTCAACACAGCTCACTTTATCCACTTTGGGCATCTCCAACTGCTGTCCAAAGTCTCATATAAAATAACTCTATCTCCACTCAGAATAACTATCTCCACTCTCTCTCATATACTCTGCTTTACTCGGGCTGTTAGGAAAGAAAGCGCTTCTCTTGTAAAGGGATCAGGTTTGAGAACAGAATGGACAGTTAAATGGTGCTTTGTGGATGGGAGCGCTCACATCACTCGGGACCTGTCATCTTGAATACACTGTTGTTGTTTGAGTATAGAGGCAGTTATTTAAAAACACTACCCTCTTTGCAGTTCATTTTAGGTCCTACTATATTTTACTATTTCCACTGCACTGCTACACTACATTGCGTCCGTTATGTTGACAGACTGAGTGCAGATGGAATCAATGGAAGGCAACAGAAAGGATATAAAGAAGGGAAATGTTATAAAGCTGAGTAATTTAGTGAAGTATTAAGATATGAAATGTAGACATTTAAAACCAAATTAGTAGTGATAGGCGACATCAGTGACTTATATACTATGTAAAATATTGTTATGTCAAGTATTGCTACATCAATCCAATACTGATACTAATGAGTTTTGTATCAAAATTCATTGAAACTCCTCTATCATAAAGAATTTTACAAAAATGACTACAAAAATAAGAGCAATGTATTTGAAAAGTATCAGCATTAGGCAAGCAGTATAAACTTAAGTCAGTATCAGTGTATCTACAGTATATATCGGGAGGTTGTCCTGGTTTACTGGGTAACTCCAAAAGTACTGACCCACTTTTCATGTGACTTTCAGTAAAGTATTTACATCAACTGTGAAGCATGTGCCATCATCTACATACAAAAGCAGTCCTCTGTGTGAGAGTGTTCTGATTCTGGCTCAGGATCTGGGAAAGGATCCCCTGATATTTCAGTGTAGTTTCTTACTTCTCCTGACAGACTGTCCTGTGACTCTGAAAGAGTGAAATACAAGGTTTAGAGAAAAAAGTGATCTTAATATTAATAAATACACCACAATTTCCTGCAGCAATGTCATTTTTATTTTAGGCTTTTAGTGAAAGTACAACAAAATAGTGCTAACATCTGACCACTGCAATCTTCACAAAGAAACAGACTGATTTAACAGGAACGGTCAGGGGGCAGACTGACAATAACGTATTTGTAAAGAATGGTATTAGACTTTAAACTGCATTTTGCTGTAGTTTCTTTGCTTAAAGGTGCACTGTGTAACATTTCTGGTGGAGGGTCCACCACCTCTTTGCCTCCATGGAAATGCTATTGCTTTGTCTAGAATGTTCCACAGTATAGATTAAACCTATCTATCACGAGGGAATCAAGCAGGTAACAACACTACGCTACATTACAGTTCAGATCTGTGGAGAGTCACCCCCATTCACAGAATGAATTACTGTATTTTTGAGCAACAGAAACACATGTAATGAATAAATGTTAGATGTATATGTTTAATGTTATACCATGGAACATTCCAGGCAAAGTAATACCATCTCCATAGAGACAAGCATGTGTCGGACCCTCCACCAGAACAATAACACAGTGCATCTTTAAAATGCACTTGCGGTAGCGTACACACACCTCCACAACATCTCTGTCACTGAATCTCATTCCCAGCTGTTTGACCTGAGCTGTCAATCTATGTCCCCTTTAAAATCCCTTATAAACTTTTACTACAAATAGTACTGCTCGTAGCTTGTCAATTGTCCTTTATAACTGACAAGGCAATCCAAAATGGCTTCCTCCTTTGTCCTCGTCTTCGTCTTCTTCTTCTTCTTCTTCTTCTTAAACCAGTTGTAGAAAATAATTCCTCTAGTATATATTGTCCAGGCGGGTTAGTCCAATTACCAACAACAAATGTGTAAACAGCTCGGAAAATAGGCAAAACACGGAAACTCCTCCAAAGCGCTCCTTAGCAGTGCAAAAAATAAAATATGAGGAAAACAATAATGAAACAATAAATATACTTCCTCTGTTATATTCTGTGTCGTATGTACAGTCCATTTTGATCATAGGAGTTCTACATCAACACGCAGCTTTTAGCCCGGTCCTTCCGAATGGCTGGGGCTTGGTCCATTGTCTCAGTCCGCCCGGGCAGAGGAGGCAGGGGCAGTTGGGATACCCTCTTTAGGCCCCTACGGGAGCTGCTGCGTTTCATTTGCGTTTTGTGTGGTCGGCGGACAGATGCCAGCGTGGTGATGTGGAACACGTCTCGTACGCTGTTCTCCGACACTTTGGATGTGCACTCCACGTACGCCACGGCTCCCATCTGACGCGCGATTGTGCTGCCCTAAAACAGACAGAAAAAAAATACAGTGTGTGAACGGCAGTGTTAAAGTGGTGGTAGAAATTAGTGGCTTTCAAATACACTGTGCATCTTTTCTTGTTTGTGTCCTATTCATGGGTTTCATCTTCCTGTTATAGGTTCCATTTAAAAGATATAAGATTATGTTTTCAATTGCTGATTTCTATGGCAATGGTCCATCATCCTGAAAGGTCCTATATTATGCAAAATTGACTCCTGTGAGCTGTAAACCATGTTAAGCCGGACGTACACTGCGATTTTAAACCCTTTTTGAGCAGATTTTTCACTTGTGCCACTGTTTTTGGGATTGGGCCGAGTTTTGGCTTAATCTTGTGTCATGTTTCGTGTAGTATACATGGGGTAACAAGAACCGATTAATACCTCATGACCAGCTCCTGATCGGCAATCGTATGTCGCAAGAATATCAAACCTGTTTGAAATCCAGTCGCCTCTTGTGGGATTTGCACTGTTGAAGTAGTTGTATAGTATGAGAACATGAACTGTGAGCTGTGAACTTTTAAACCCTGTGATTTGTTTGTACAGTTTGAGCTGGGGCCAAAAATATCACACAGTGTATGTCCGTCATTAGAATGCTGTTACCTCATAAAAACATACCTGGAGTTGCCTTGTTTCCTTCAAACATGTTTGAGTAGCATTAGTCTATCTAGCTCAAATCTATCTAGCTCAAAATGCTCTGTTCCACCTTGTGATGTCATGAAGCGATAGTTTTCAAGTTAACAGCTACATTTTACTTTTTGTTTAGTAGGGATAAGAAATTGCAGGGCTGAAATCATCAAAATTCTATTATGATTCTAGTGAAGGTACATGAAGTTTAAAAACACAAAGGAGCACCTCCTGTATTTCTGCATGACATCACAAGAAGAACTCAGCCTAAATAAGTTGGATTTGTGTGTTAAATGTGTGAGATTGAAACAAAACACAACTCCTTGTAACTTTTCTAATGAAGGGTCAGCTACTTGCATGTCTCCAAGGAGATGTTATTGCTTTGTTGGAATGTTCTACAGTATGGCATTAATCACTGTCTCATGAGAGTCAAGCACATTACAGGTCAGATCTGTGGGGAGGTGACCCAGAATGCATGTTTTTCTAGGTTCTTTTGTTCAATTAAAACTACTGATGCAAGACATACTGCAGAACATCCAGGCAAAGCACTGACATCTCCATGGAGACAAGAGGAAAAGTTACATGTTACATAATAAAAGGTTACACGATGCATCAAACTATTAAAAGTGCATTGTGTAACTTTCTGGTGGAGGGCCTGTCAAATGCTTTTCTTTATGGAGATGTTATTGCTTCATCTGGAATGTTTCATAGTATGGTATTAAACCTCTCCTATCTTCATGGAGACCAAAACCAGACCAAGTTACAAGTCAGATCTGTGAAGAGGTGAGAATGCCAGTTTTTCTAGGTATTTTTGAGTGATAAAACCAGCTGTAATTGAATAAAAGTAAGGTAGAGCTGTTTAATGTCATACTGTGGAACATTCCAGACAAAGCAATAACATCTCATTGGAAAAAAAAAAAAAAGTATTTGACAGATCCTCCACTAGAAAAGTTACACAATGCACAAGGCTTTGATTTATGTTGCATACTATGGTTGAGTCACTTCCCCATTACAGTTGTTTTGATAAGCTTATATAACCAAGGGAATTTATGTTTTATTTCCAATTCTAATAATGAAATGTAGATGGCATGACAACAAAAATATTCAATACTATATCAAGCAGATGCATCATGGGACCACTGGCCTGCTGTTTCAAACCCTTTTATGTAGCTCCAAGTGAACATTGCCAGTCCATATACTCTGAATCTCAATGTCTGGAAACAGGCATGAATAATGAAGCTTTCAGAGTCTGTGTTTAGCCTTTGTCACTGCAGTTATTTACACAAACAGGAAATCCACCACCACTGGACTAATATTACAATCCACCTGCTGCTAACTGAGCTTTTGAATTGTTTTCCCCCTGTCTAATCAAAAGCTAATTTAATTTCACATCTCCTCTCTTTCCTTCTTTAGTGAAGTGCTTCTCTGGTTTCACGATTGAGGCTCGCTAGCACCAAAAGGTCAGATCAGTCGAGACAAGACCACATTTCCCATGATCCCTTGCACGGCCACACAGAAAGGGCTTTTCATTCATTCTGATTTTATCGTCAGCTCTACTACATTAGTTTGAAATTAGTCCTCATTAGAAGGTCAAGAGAAAAAGTCCTAGAATTTCTTGATTGCCACACAATACAGCTAATTAAAGGTGCACTGTGGTACTTTTAGTGGAGGATTTGCTACCTGCTTGCCTCCATAGAGACGTTATTGCTTTGGAATTTTCCACTGTATGACATTAAACCTATCTATCTTGCATTTATTTCATTTTGGATGTTTTAATTACTTAATTACTTCTTGCAGTGAGTGGGATCGTGGGATCTGACCTATAACTACGTCTGAGGATGTATTCTGGAAATACTAGGGGTGTAACGGTACACAAAAATCACGGTTCAGTACGTACTTCGGTTTTGAGGTCATGGTTTGGTTCATTTTCGGTACAGTAGGAGAACAAAATGCAAAACCATTTGCTTGTTGTTTTTTTGTGTTTTTATTAAACCAACAATTTGATTTAACATTATACAAATGGGAAAATAAAATAAATGTAAAGTGCTACTTGGTGATACTAATAAGTAAAATAAAATACTCAAATAAGCAACAAACGTATGAAATATTATACAAATTTAATTCCTTGTAAACTGTAAACAAAACTTTTCAACCATAGCTTTGCGAAGATTCTCGTGTTCAGAGGGACATAGTCAAGGTGGGGGGCAATTGTTGGCAAGGCGGCTGCCCTAACTATAAAGCACTGCGGGAAACACTGCCACCCCAATCACGAACAACTTCCCTTGTGAATATTAAAGAGCTGAGCTTTCTGTGTTGCTGCACATGTAGTGACAGAATGTAAACACACACAAATTGTGCAAATTCACTCGTGCACAGCCCTGCACCGAACCAAACATCCAATACCACACGATTCAACACGAATACATGTATCGTTACACCACTAGGAAATACTAGTATAAGTGAAATACCATACAATGGAACATTTCAGATAAACAATGCATCTCCATGTAGACCAGTTGGAGGCAGAAACTCCATCAGACATGTTACCTAGTGCATCTTTATTAGCATTCTCTCAAAGTCATATATTAGGAGCCGTACTATGTCCTTATTAAATGAAATTTGACTTCTGGATGGGCAGAGAAGGAAGAGGGCGGTTGAAGGGGAAGTTGTCGTGACAACATGAAATGCTTGATCAGATCTGTGTCAGATTACAGCGGAAGCGTCTCCAGGTTCACACAGTGGTCACGTCTGAGGAGCTGGCATTTGATAGAGGATCAGAAACATGATACCAGAGCAGCAGAGCAGGATTAAGAGGACTAACCTTATAACTATTCCATCTGTACTTTAACTAGAGTTTTTTTTTTTTTTTTTCATTTGTGTAGATTAGAGATGCACTGCTCCATCTTTTTCAGTTTCAATACTTAATCTTTAAGAATCAGCTGATACCTGATATCAACCAATACCAGTACATTTGTGTATAATTCCTTTAAACTAAAATAAAAATAAGACAAAATGGATCCAATTGTGTTAAGTAGCTTTTCTCAAGTTCTCATCTCTCAAGTAACTACTGGACAACTGTAAATACAAATACAAACATTCTGAGACTTTCTGGGCCAATTACAACCAATAAATAGTACAGTATGTCCATCCAGGATATCGTCTGAATCGATATTTGAAAGCCACTATCCAATCCATAATCGGATCGGTGTAGATCATTATGTGAACTAGAGCTGCACAATTTTTTTTTTTGGGGGGGGGGAGGACCGGATTTGAGAGAAGACTGAAATAAAAATTGCAAAGACAATAATAACAATACAATTAATACAATAACCCCATGTATTTCAGAGCCTGTTTGTGAAGGCCAAAACACAGGTAAAACAACATCTTTCATCAAAAAAGGACTAGCTCTCTATGGCATTTTACTACGTCTAAACAATTATCACTTCATCCTAGTTACACAACATCTGCTTTCAATGCTTTTATTCAGCATTGAACCTGCCCCATTCAAACATCTTCTTTTGTTCTATGGGCTTTTGTGTGACGCTAAAACACACTTGAATGAGCGCTACATGAACGCACTAAACGCTGATTAAAATTCACACAGTTTATGGTGCCCTCCCCTCCTCCCTCCTCCTCTACTGAGTCTCAACTCTTCTCTCTTCTCCCCTTCTCTCTTTTCCTCTCCCCTCTTCTCTCTGCGTTCTCTTGGCTTCGAGGTCATTGCACCACACAATAAAAACGCTTCGGTCATTAATCACTGTCCAGTTCTTTTTATATATTATTATGTGTAGTATCTAAATCTACATGAGCAATGAATCTGACAAAGGAAATTGGTGTATTACAGCACAATAGCTTCTCAAACTGTGGTACGCAAGTCTCTGTGTGAGTTATGTGCAGTAGATGATTTTTACTGTCTTAAAACATGAAAAATAGAGCTAGTTCATTTTAAACGTTTTGCTGTTCCCCAGAGTTATTCCTCACTTACCTTATGCAATCCTAATTATTCACAGTGATGAATTTGTAAGTGCATTTCACAACAAGTTTTGTCCTCACAGTAATGCCAACAACAACGACCATGCTAACACCGCACTTCCTGATTATCGTGCAATATAATGCTTTATAATTAAGTGTCTACCGTACACACAGAAGACTTATTTTGACCTGAAGAGCTGCGTACAATACTGGTACAAGACAAATTTTGATTGAATAATTAGAAGGGCTTTCATTTTAAAGATCGAATATGTTTTTATTCATGGCCGATACCGATAATATTGTTTAGAATCCAGAGTAAGCGATGGCCGATAAGCTCTGCTGATATTTTTGGGCTGATATAGAGAGTGGATTTTGATTATTTCTACCCAAGTTATGTGCATTTAAATGGTAACAAATTTAGCCACAACCTTATTTCACTGCAAACTCATCAGAGAATGGTGTAGCTGCATTTTAAGAAGAGCCCACTTCGCATTTAAATGTTCAAATAAAGGTAAATAGGTAAATATCTCTCCTTTAGTCAGGTGGTCAATCAAAAAAAACAAAACAAAAAAACATATCACTGTATGTTGGAGATACAAAGCTGATATGCAAAAAAACTGCAAATATCTGCAATATTGTAGTGGTTAGTCCTGGTTTCCAAATTGACCTATAGTTATCAGACTTTTTTTCTTGGTTTATAAGAGCTTTATGCTTCATTTGGTCCAAATTCATCCTGTTTTGGTCTTATTGTCTGAATCCACGTATAGCTGATCTTTAAGTCAAAAAATTCCTTCCACTCTCCTCTCCCTCGGCCCTCGTCATAAACACTTCCTCAACCTGTCAGCACATCGTGGTCAGCGCTCAGACCCCAGCAGGCCCCCTCCAGGACTCACACCCGCCCCCCACCCCCCTGATTCTGGAGGTGCCTGATTGCTCCTCCTCTCACTCTCTCTCCTCTGGGACCTCACTGCAACACCAGCGCTGACCCCAGGCTGGAGAAATAGCTCAGAACAGCTTTCTAATTTCCTCTTTTCGCGTGTGTTTTTGCCGTCTGGGGACTCTGGGACATTTGGGGCGGAGGATCTCACCTGCTCGTGGGTGACGGGGATGAGGCGCTGCTTGGACAGTTCTCGGAGAGTGTTGACGTCCGTCCTCATGTCCAGTTTGCAGCCCACCAGCACCACTTTGGCATTGGGACAAAACTCCTGTGTCTCCCCTTGCCACTGTGGACACAAACACAAGAATATATAAAAATAAAGCATTGGATTTTCAAGTTAACAGCTACATTTTACCTTCTGTTCAGTGGCAATTCCAGCGAGTTGAAGCAATTTGAATGAGTCTAGTGATTCGAGTTCTAGTGTTTTCAGTTTAAGAGAAGAACTCCGTCTAAATGTTTGTGTGAAACAAAATATAACTCCACTTATGTTTTTAATGAGGAAACAACATTGTAACATAGATCAGAAAATTGTGTAATATGGGTCCTTTAAAACAGTGGTCCCCAACCTTTTTTGCGCCACGGACTAGTTTTATATCAGACAATATTTCGCCGAACGGAGGGAGATTTTTGGACGAGGGGACTGTGTATGGGAGGAGGCACGGTGCACTGTCTGGCAGCATGATTAAGTCCTGGCTAAATCCTTGTTAAGACTGGTATTAGACCTGGTCTGGTATTAGACCTGGTTTAGACCTGGTTTAGACCTGGTTTAGACCTGGTTTAGACCTGGTTTAGACCTGGTTTAGTTCTGGTTTAGTGGGCAGCCCGTGCAACGTACAGGAAGAGGGATGGCGTCTGCGTATGGGAGGGGGGGTTTGCACTTTTGCCCAGTACTGGTCCCCGGCCTGGGGGTTGGGGACGCCTGCTTTAAAATATCCATGTTGACAAAATTGCAAGACATCTCAGATATATTGGTATCATCTAAAAGAAATCCTGATCTCACTATCCATAATTCACACTTGGTGGTGATATGCTGTGGCTGCCCTGAGGCACACTACAGAGAAGTGGCTGTCAATCTGCCTTAAAGGTCACCAATCAATTCACTCCATTACAATTTCCATAAAAAACTTTTCTACATGGCAACAAAGTTCAATGGTTAATTTGCTAAATAAACAATAAACAAAGTTTTAATGTAAGCTGTAACAGAGGTGTTCAACATGGTTATTTAGAAATAACGGCGTCTGTTTTTATACTGAACCTAACAAAGTCAGCTCTTCTTACAAACTAAATAAAAATTTTGAATGTTTACTTTAATTTCCTCATAGATACAGTATGTTCATATTAATTCGTCAGAGCGTTTCCACAGTAACAGATGCCATAGAAACATCCATTGATCCCCGAAGCTTCACTGATAAAATAAATGTGATTTCATTTCAATTGAGCCCTTTACACAGAATATTATCTCCAGCCCATGGCCTTTTCATTAGCTCTGACTATTGTGCTGCTGGGCCAATTATTCATCATGAAACCAGAATTACGGAGACAAAACCATGTCACTAAACGTAATTTCTGATTGTAAATATTTTCACATAAATTGTCTTATTTCAACTGGCTCACAGTAAGGACACATGCTTTCCCACATTTTTTTGTGCAAAAAAATGTCCAAAATGAAAGAAAACAAAACAACAACATGCTTTTAAATCCGTGTATCATTTGGTCACTTGATTTTCAAAATAAAACCAAAAATAAGAAAATTTAAAAAGCAACTATTTTAACCATAATTTAAAAATGGAATACCATTTTTTTTTTTTTTCAGTTTTTGATTTTGTGTTTAAATAAATAATGTAAAAAAACGGATAACGGCTGTTTCCCATTTCCGTGATTTAAACTGCGATGTCAGACATTTGCGCCGCGTACGGATTGAACCAGGACTCAACCAGTACTGAGTGCTGGGACGGGTCCGGATGTGTGCGTCGGGTGGTCAGGACTGAGACCGGGACCAGACCAGAACTGAGACCAGGACTGAGACTGGGAACAGGACCAGGACTATGATTGAGACCAGAATCAGACAAGGACTGAGACCGGTTTAGTCCTGGTTTAGATCTGGTTCAATCCTGGTTCACCTGGTTTACACCTGGTTTACACCTGGTTTACACCTGGTTTAGTCCTGGTTTAGTGCTGGTTCAGTCCTGGTTCAGTCCTGGTTACACCTGGTATACACCTGGTATACACCTGGTACACCTGGTATACACCTGGTATACACCTGGTTTACACCTGGTTTACCCTTGATTTAAACCTTGTTCAGTCCTGGTTCAGTCCTGGTTCAGTCCTGGTTCAGTCCTGGTTCAGTCCTGGTTCACTCCTGGCATCAGTTCTGGTTCAGTCCCAGTCTCAGTCCTGTTCAGTCCTGGTTTACACCTGGTTTACACCTGGTTTACACCTGGTTTAGTCCTGGTTCAGTCCTGGTTCAGTCCGTATGAGGCGAAAAAGTCCGGCATTGCAGTTTAAATCACGGAAACGAATCGTTATCTGTTTTTTCATTTTGGTTTTGGAGACAAATAATGAACAAAATAGTTATTTTTGCATTTTCTTATTTGTAACAGATTCTTTAATTTTAGTCAGTTGTTTGGATAAAAAGTGACGCAATGGGGCTTTAAATCACAGATTAAATTTTAGCATGCACTGATAACGATGCATATTGCTGACAAAGTTCTTCATTACAGCAAAACCATCTTGATTTGGTCTTATTTGAATGCTAAAAAAAGGCTGTAATAAGACTAACACGTAGCTCATTATGTTATATGAGTCAAGTCGGAGCATTATGGGCCCTGGGTTGGTGAAGCTCCTGCAGTGTGGAGTATCTGTAGACTTCGCACACTGACACATGGCGCATCTGTCAACAAATCTATTCTGGTCTGTGCTCAGGAAAAGGCTCTGAAACCAACTCAGATTAAATGTCACTTCACAAACTCAGCTGAACCAACACAGAAATACTGCTCTGAGAATACTCTCATCCCAGTACTACTATTTCAAACTTCATTCTGATTTTTGAAGGTGAGGATTTGACAACACATGGATTTCAATACCACAATGACAATAAAAACTTGACATTTTTAATATAACAGAATATATTCAATGTAAAATAATGTCAGTTTCTTAAATATTTCCATGAGGTTTTATACTAGTTCAGATATAACTCAAAACCAAAACTAAATTGTATATTATCAAAGGATAGACCACAAAGATGAGACAAATTAATCATATCTGAAGGAGTGCAGAACGTTCAAATTGTATTATAATGTCAACATAAAGTATTTCTCAATTACCGTATTTTTCGGATTATAAAGTGCACCAAATTATAAAGCGCTATATCAATAATGTTAAATTCTCTTGTCTATTTTCATACATAAGGCGCACCAGATTATAAGAAGCATTAAGCGAAACAGACAACACTTGAGACTGACACCTTAGCCCAGGCAATTTAAGTTTGTTTTTTAATTTCCTATGAGGAGGATTCAAACATACATTGAATAATAATGTGTTTAATGCAGCTTTGTGCTCATCTGTTTACGTTTTACAGAAACAAAACTTAAAACCATATGACCAATTTGCATAAACTATAAGCGCTGAAAAAAACTGCTCGCTCCTGACACTGATGTGGTCAGATTCTGTCAGACTAAAGGACACGACTCAGTGGACTATAGGTGTTCTTTCAATGACAGTCGATGTTCTGCTGATGATGAGTCTGTTCTGTGCTTCTATCGCGTTGGAGATGGTACATGTTAAACTTTTCAGAGATTATACGTCTGTAGGTCATATGCATAGGCCATATATATGAATGAACATATTCTCTGTAGCATTTCATTGATGTCATAAATACCGACGCAGAACTATACTTCGCCCTTTACTCCACGAGGCTCCTGAATACATTAGCCGTAATACTCCGACAATCCATCAAACGGTGCGGTAAACACAACCAGAATTAATACATACACTGTAGATTTTTGAGAAAATTAAAGGATTTCAAGTGTGTCTTATAGTCCAAAAAATATGGTACTTAATGTGGGAAGAGTAAACTTTTTTCAGTAAAGTGCTGTTACATTGTAAAATATATAAATCTATAAATACAATAAAAAGATTACTCAAGTAGGAGTAAAAGTATGGTATCAAAAGTGTTGTGTTAAAGTAAAATTCTATTAAAATGTTAAAAATGTAGGCTTAGTGTAGGACAAATACGGAACAACAACCCACCATGGTAACTGTTTGACACAAATTAGAATATATTTATAGCATTTTAATATTTTGAGACAATGTTGAGAATCTAGTGGACAACTTGTTAAAGAAAATAACACTGTTGTCTGAAACTGAATCCAACTACAGTGACTAATCTTGCTAAATGAGTAAATATGTGGCATTCCTTCAAAAATAATAAACAGCATTTTAATACCAAAAGTTGCCCTATATGAAACACTATTAATAATTCAGTTATCAATCCTTCTATAGTGACCATTTGAAGACATTTTGGATCCATTCTTATTTGCACTTACAATAGTAAGAAGCATATAAAGTATTCAATTTACATTCACATATTTAGGCCTATATATACTTTAACTTTAATGTGTTCTGTCATTTCTGGTTGCTGTAGATAAGTAGTTCAATAAAACACCAAGCAGTGTTTTTTACCTGCACAAAATGGCCTCCTGTTCTAATATCCCAAAGTGTATTTAGTCTAATTGTTTAACCAACCTCTCCCCCCTCAGTGTGACTATCTGACCCCAGCGCCGCCTTATCCCAGGGGTCAACACTTTGATTTGGTTTGGTGATTGTTCAACAGCTTTTCCATGTGGCCCCCCCAACCTTAGATACGGCCAGAGCAGCAGCCGGGGTCAAAGGTTGCGACAGACTCCTACCAAGGGAGTTCTGGGTAATGACAAAAGCCTGGGGAAAGCTTTGGTTCCCCGTGTTGACCAAGTGCACTGAAGCCTGTGGGATATTCGAATCCTCAGTAAAAAGGTGTTTAAAGGACTCCCATCTACACTATGTTATAATGTTGTTTCCTCATCACAAATAGACCTGGAGTTGTGTTTGCTTCATTCACACATGTTTGACACACAAACCCTGCATATTTAGGCTGAGATCTTCTCTCAAACAGCCTTATGATGTCATGTGGTCATACAGGAAGTGCTTCGTTGTGTTTTTAAACTGCATACACCTTCACTAGTATCATTTGGATGATTTCAGTGACGGAATTGCCAGTCTTTACTGAACAAAAGGTAAAAGGTAGCTGTC